AGAACAGTTAGCAAGAAGCCTGCCACGGCCATACAGTTTGTAAGCAATATAAGTCTCTGTGTTTACTTGGTTGGGTCTGAGCGGCTGTGGGACTGGCAGGGGACAGAGATTTGTCCTGACTGTGGGCCAGGCAGGAAAACTCTAGCTACATCTGGCATCTGCAGAGACCTAACATGCACATACCCCACACAACTGCTTAATTAAAAAAATAATAATTTTAAAGTTATGTACATTGGGTATAAAAATATATTAACACATAATTCTGACAACATAACAGTGCATGTTATATGGTATACACATATACTGTATACTGCCTTGCATATATAAATCTATATTTGTTGAAAGAGAAAAATGAAAATGTACACATATCAAAACAGGAGCTGGTATGCACTAAGGTAAAGAGAAGTCTCACTACCACTCAAAATAAAATGCATATATTTATCAAAATTAAAGGTCAACTAAAAAAATGAAGCTTAAATTTCTATTTTTCAAGAGATTAAAAACAATTTACTATTAGATATTCAAGAAGGGAACTTCTAAGGCATCAGATTTCAAAAAGCAAGCACAGAAATCTTAAAATGGTATATGAAAGGCATGAAGAAAAAGAAAACCAAGAGATGACAGGGGCAGGGGGACAGCTTAGATGACAAAGGGCTTGCCTTGCAAGCGTAAGGACCTGAGTTCCATCTCCAGAACCCATGTTAAAACGCACGCACACGGGGCTGGAGAGATGGCTCAGAGGTTAAGAGCACTTGTTGCTCTGCCGGGGGGCTGAGTTTGATTCCCAGCAGCCTTGTCCCATGGTTCTAAACTGCCTGTAACTTCGGCTCCAGGGGAATCTGACTACCTCTTTTGAACTCCACAGGCACCCACATGCATGTGACATATACACAGAAATTAAATATATAAATAAGAACTAAAGTTGGGTGTAGGTGATTCATGCACTGGAGAAAGGAAGACAGGAGGATCCTGGAATCAAGTCAGCCCTCCTCGCCTACTTAGCAAGTTCTAGGGCACGAATGGCCCTGGACTACACCTAAGAAACAACACCTGAGGTTGTCATCGGGCCTGCATATCCATGGGTATTTCTTCCCACATTAACATGCACACACTCATAAATAACCCGAACATACTGGCAGAAGAAAACCAAATAAAGTTCAAGTCCTAGGGAACAGAGAAAAGAGGCCACATTATGATTATAGCCCAAGAAGCCACGAAAAAAGACTTATTAACCAGTACAAAAAGCTTATAAACTTTTACTTTTTTTGTTTTTGAGACAGGGTTCATTTCTCTGTGTAGCCTTGGCTATCCTGGAACTTTGTAGACCAGGCTGGTCTCAAACTCACAGAGATTTGCCTGCCTCTGCCTCTCGAGCGCTGGGATTAAAGCTGTGAGGTTGTAAACTCCTATGTGGGGGTTGGAGGAGGGTAAAAACCAGCATAAAGGCATATGACTACTGTGAACAGTCCCAGCACCTGTTGCTCCATAGTGTCAGGATTCTTAGAGCTCTACCCTCCAGAACTCCTTGAAGGCAAAGACTTGGGTTTGCAGGTAGCAAGGGGCTGGGTGGAGGCCACTAACATATGTACACAGAAGGAAGGCAAGAAAGGAAGAGTAAGATACAAATGTAGATTCTAGAAGCATACTGATTTCTTGGGCATGGTAATTCATGTTGTGTAGGACAGCTGTCCACTGTAAGCCCAGAGCTTGAGTCACTGTGACACCCAGAAACACTCCTGAGTAGTTGGAATGCCAACCTAGCAGCACCCCGGGTGGAGAACCTCTGGGGTTAGAAAATAAAGGCTCCTATGCATCAAGAATGAAGACCTTGGATTTTACCATGAAGGCAATGAAAATCTAAACAGGATTTTTAAGTATCAAAGCAACACAATTATGGTTTCATTTAAAAAACATTCCTCTGGTAGTAAGAGGAAGAGAGACTGGGCTAGATTCAAGGTAGACAATTAAGAACAACAGAAACAGACCAGCAGAGTAAGGTAGAAGGTGACTGCATTCTCAGGTCATGTTCAGGACACCTATGGAATATCTAAACAGGGCCACCCTTAGAGGACTAGGCAGACAGATCACCTATGGGATGTCTAAACAGGGTCACCCTTAGAGGACTAGGCAGACAGATCACCTATGGGATGTCTAAACAGAGCTATTCTTAGAGGGGAAGGCAGATGCCTCAGGGCGAGGTGCAGTTTTTCAATGTCTGTAACAATACTGAATGTTACAATTTTTTTTTCCTTTTGAGTCAGGGTTTCATGTAGCCAAGTCTACTGAAAACTTATTTAGTAGTCAAGGATGACCTTGAACTTCTGATCTTCCTCCTCCAGTCTCCCAAGTGCTAGAATTAGAGGTGCGGGCAACCGTGTGTGGGTTTTTTTTTTTTTTTTTTTGAGACAGGGTTTCTCTGTGTAGCTTTGTGCCTTTCCTGGAACTTGCTTTGGAGACCAGGCTGGCCTTGAACTCACAGAGATCGGCCTGCCTTTGCCTCCCAGTGCTGGGATTAAAGGCGTGTGCTACCACCGCCCAGCTTCTGCAGTGCTGGGGCTCAAATCCAGGGCTTCATGTATGCTAACCAAGCAGTCTACACACTGTGCTACATCCTCAGCCCCAGCAATGTTTCAATTCAAATCCTCTGCCCTAAACTTATAAAAACAAAATAAACAAACAAGAAACTTACCTTGCTCTCCCAACTGGCAAGGCCAGTGGCCTAACATTTTCACCAGTAGAGAAATCAGAAATAGCAGTTTCTTCAGACTGTGGTTCTTCAACATGACTCGTTTCTTCCTTCTCTAAAAACTTTAAAAATGTTATAAATAATTTAGTCAGATGCAAGAGTCAACTTTCTTCTGTGCTAGGAAATAACTAAACAGGGGGTTGAGAGATGGCTCCACATTTAAGAGCACTGGCACTGGAGCTGTAGACATGTAGTGAGCTGCCACGTGGATGGTGCAAACCAAACCCAGTTCCTCTGAAAGAGAAGCAAGTGCTCCTAATCACTGAGCCATCTCTCCAGCTCCCAAAGATACCAATTTTAGTTGCTACTTGTAAAGGAAGCACCTGATGACATTAGACAAATATTCTACCATGCACAGTATAATAAGCTAAAGGTAAATACCACAGGAGATCCATAACAGGTGCTCAGATATTTAGATATTTTCATTTCCCAACTGGAACAAACTGTGAGAGATGAGCTTAGAGTACAGAGCCCTCAATTTTTACCTTTTATGTATTTGGAGACAGGGTCCACATGCTGGGTTCACAGGTATACAGTACCACACCCAGGCATAGCCCTAAATTTTTTTGTTTGTTTTTCAATATATGGTTTCTCTTTGTAGATCAGGCTGGCCTCAAACTCAGAGATTCGCCTACCTCTGACTCCTGCTGGAGTTAAAGGTATGTCTGATACCACTGCCTGGCTTAGCTCTCATTTTTTTTTTTTTTTTTTTTTTTTTTTTATTTAGTTTTTCTGTGTAGCCCCTGTTGTTTCCTGAAGCTCATCCTTGCATTTGCACCAAGGCCACACCTCCCCCGAGCTTCTTGCTGCCAAGGGTTTGCTTTCATTTTTTTTTTTTTTTTTCATT